TGAGGTGTGTCTTTAAAAGGCCATTAGTTCATTTTACCTTTCCTGAAGATCGAGGTCGGTAAGGGATATGAAGCTTCCACTGAATACCAAGAGCCTGAGAAACTGCTTGGGTAATTTGACTAGTAAAGGCCGGTCCGTTATTGGACTATATAGAGGTGGGAAGGCCAAACTGGAGAATTACGTCTGACAGAAGGGAAGAAATGACCGCGGTGGCCTTCTCAGAACCTGTGGGAAAGGCCTCTACCTATCCAGTGAAAGTGTCTACCCAGACCAAGAAGTATTTTAGTTTCCTGACTCAGGGCATGTGAGTAAAGCCAATATGCCAGCCCCGGGTTGGGACAAATCCCGGAGCTTGATGTGTAGGGAAGGGAGGGGGCCTGAACACTCCCTGAGGAGTAGGAAAATAGCAGATGGAACACTGAGAAGTGATTTCCTTGAGGATAGATTTCCACGATGGAAAGGAAATGAGAGGTTCTAAGAGACAGACTAGCGGCTTGTAACCTTCATGGAAGAGGTTATGAAATGACGACAGAATAGAATGGGCCTGTGAGGCCGGAAGGAGGAGATATTTTCCTTGGTCTAAGAACCATTTGCTTTGTGTGGGAAGAGATTGATAGGTGGAAGTTTTAGTGGGGGAGTAGGTGGGAGTGGCCAGATGAGAAGCAGAAAAACTGCCGTGAGGGATAGAAGTTGTAATGCTAGCTGCTTTTTTAGCTACCTTATCAGCATAAACATTGTTCTGAGTGATGGGATCTGATGCCTTTTGATGGCCCTTGCGGTGAATGACTCCAGCTTCCTTTGGAAGTAAAGCGGCTTTGAGAAGAGTTTTTATTAAAGAGGCATTAATGATGGAGGACCCTTGCATAGTGAGGAAACGTCTTTCAGCCCATATAACAGCGTGGTGATGCAGGATATGGAAGGCATATTTAGAGTCAGTAGAAATATTGATGTGTAATTCCTTTGCAAGAGTGAGGGCTCGAGTTAAGGCAATGAGTTCGGCTTGCTGAGAGCTAGTGGAGGGGGGCAGAATGGTAGCCTCAATGATAGATGTGGAAGATACTATAGCATAGCCTGCCTTTGCTGGTGTGTGGCGATTAGGCCTGGTGGAACGTCCATCAATAAACCAAGTGTGATTAGGGTGAGGAACAGGAAAGAAGGAAATATGGGGAAATAGAGTGAATGCCACGTGGATCAGAGAGATACAGTCATGGGGGTCAGGTGTGGTATCCGGAATAATGTGGGAGGCCAGATTGAAGTCTGGGCCAGGAACAATGGTAACTGTGGGAGACTCAACAAAGAGTGAGTATAGCCGAAGGAGCCGGGGAGCAGAAAGTATATGTGTCAGGTGTGAGGAAGAAAATAGATTTTGGAAGTTATGAGAACTATAGAGAGTGAGTTGAGCATAGTTTGTGATTTTGAGGTCCTCTAAAAGTATTAGGGTGGCAGCAGCCACCACACGCAGACATGAGGGCTAGGCTAAAACAGTAAGGTCAAGTTGTTTGGACAGAAAGGCTACAGGGCACGGTCCTGGCTCTTGTGTAAGAACTCCGACCACACAGCCTTGCACTTTGGCTGTGTGTAATGAAAAGGGTTGGGATGAGTTAGGGAGAGCTAGTGTGGGGGCAGCTTCTAGGGCTATTTTTAAGGAACAGAAAGGAGTGGCCAAAGGATTTAGAATCTGTGGGGTCAGCTAGGTTTGCTTTTGTGAGTTTATATAATGGTTTAGTCAGGATGGTAAAACTAGGTATCCAAAGGCGGAAATACCTAACCATGCCTAGGAAGGAAAGGAGTTGTTGTTTTGTAGAAGGGATTGGGGTTTGGGAGATTCGCCAGACACAATCAGCAGGGAGAGCATGTGTGTTTTCATTAGAATTATGCCGAGATAGATAACAGATGAGGAAGAAATTTGGGCTTGACTGAAATAATGAGGGCTGTCCGTGAAGCCTTGCGGCAGTGCAGCCTAGGTAATTTGCTGAGCCTGATGGGTGTCAGGGTCAATCCAAGTGAAAGTGAAGAGAGGGTGGGATGAAGGGTGCAAAGGAATAGTAAAGAAAGCATGTTTGAGATCCAGAACAGAATAATGGGTTATGGAGAGAAGTATTTAGGATAGGAGAGTATATGGGTTTAGCACCACAGGGTGGATAGGCAAAATAATTTGGCTGATAAAGTGCAGATCCTGAACTAACTTGTAAGACTTGTCTGGTTTTTGGACAGTAAAATGGGGGAATTGTAAGGAGAGTTTATTGGCTTTAAAAGGCCATGCTGTAACAGGAGAGTGATAACAGGCTTTAATCCTTTTAAAGCATGCTGCAGGATGGGATATGGGCATTGAGCGGGGTAAGGGTGATTAAGTTTTAATGAGATGGTAAGGGGTGCATGATCAGTCACCAAGGAGGGAGTAGAAGTATCCCATACTTCTGGGTTAAGGTGGAGAGATACAAGGGGAGGATGTGAAGGAGGCTTTGAACTTGGGGAAAAGGTGGCAATGAGGTGTGGCTGTAGCCCAGGAAGAGTCAGGGAAGCAGATAATTTAGTTAAAATGTCTCGACCTAATAAGGGAGCTGGGCAGGTAGGGATAACAAAAAATGAGGGCATTAAAGAATGTTGTCCAAATTGGCACCAGAGTTGGGAAGTTTTAAGAGGTTTAGAAGCTTGGTCGTCAATACCCACAACAGTTATGGAGGCAAGGGAAACAGGCCCTTGAAAAGAAGGTAATGTGGAGTAGGTAGCCTTCGTACTGGTTAAGAAGGGGATGGACTTACCCTCCACTGTAAGAGTTACCCAAAGCATCTGTCTAGGGGGTTTCGGAGACCATCAGGCAGCATCAGTCTTCAGTCGCTAAGCCGAGAAGATCTGGGAAGGAGTCAGTCAGAGAACCTTGGGCCAGAGTTCCAGGGGCTCTGGGAGTGGCTGCCAGGTGAGTTGGACAGTCCGATTTCTAGTGGGGTCCCGCACAGACGGCTTAGGAGGAATCCCGGGCTGTGGGCATTCCTTGGCCCGGTGGCCAGATTTCTGGCACTTGTAGCAAGCTCCTGGGGTAGGAGGTTCTGGAGGAACCCCTGGCAGCTGAGGTTCAGGCATTTGGAGTTCTTGTGTGCTGGAGATGTGGCTGGGGTTTGACTCACAATGGAGGCAAGGAATTGCAACTGAGAAATGCATTGCTACTTGGCTGCCTCTACTCTATTATCGTACACCTTGAAGGTGAGGTTAATTAAGTCCTGTTGTGGGGTTTGAGGGCTGGAATTTAATTTTTGGAGCTTTATTTAATGTTGGGAGCAGGTTGGGTAATAAAATAAAATGCGTATTGAGAATAAGACAGCCTTTTGACCTTTTAGGGTCTAGGGCTGTAAAGTGTCTCAGGGCTGCTGCCAAATGAGCCATGAACTGGGCTGGGTTTTTATATTTGATGAAAAAGAGCCTAAACGCTATCTGATATGGGATAAAGAAAAAGGAGCATTAACCTTGACCATGCCTTTAGCTCTAGTCACCTTTTTAAGAGGAAATTGCTGGGCGGGTTGGGGAGGGCTAGTCGTGGAATGAAACTGTAAGCCAGACCCGGTGTGAGCAGGGCAGATGCTAGGATTGTAGGGTGGGGGAGCAGAGGCTGAGGAAGAATTGGGACCTGGCTTGGCCTGGCAAGGAGCAGCCTGGGGAGAAGGGGAGAGGTCAGATAAGTCCGTAGAAAAGAAGGATTCAAAGGACTCAGAGCTTGGGGTGGAGACTGAAGGAACAGACAGGAGAGAAAGAAGAAAGATTTGGGACGAGTCTCATTGGGAACAGAGACTAGGGAGGGACCAATGTGTAAAAGAAAGTCTGGATGTCAGGCACCTCACACCATTTGCCCATTTTTTGACAAAAATTATCTAGGTCTCGTAGGATGGAGAAATCAAAAGTGCTGTTTTCTGGCCATTTAGAACAATTGTCGAGTTTGTACTGGGGCCAAGCGGTGTTGCAGAAGAAAATAAGACACTTAGATTTTAGGTCAAGAGAGAGTTGAAGAGCTTTTAAGTTCTTGAGAACACAGGCTAAGGGAGAAGAAGGAGGAATGGAGGGTGAAAGGTTGCCCACAGTGAAGGAGGCAAGTTTAAAGAGAAGGGTAGAGACATGGAGGAGTGGGGTGGGGAGCAGCCCCGGGCTGCAACGTGGGTGAGCAGCCACAGCAGGCGTCCCCACAATTGACTTGCCACCAAGGGAATGTGGATAAATGACCAAGGCAGGCGTCCCAGCAGAGATCAGACACCAATGGAACGTGGGTGAATAATCAGAGAGGCATCCTGGCAATGACTACCCACCAAGGGAAGGCTGTCTTCCCAAGTCCGTGACCGGTGCCGGAGTTTTGGGTCCACGGATAAAATGTGTCTCCTTTATCTCTACCAGAAAATGAAAGGAATTGAAATTAAGAGAAGGGAGAGATTGAAGGGTGGTGCCAAGATTGAAAGGAGAAAGAGGTTGGGGGATAGTGAGAAAGGTTGGAAAACAGAGTAAAAAGAGGCCGCTTACCTGATTTAAAATCGGTGAGATGTTCCTTGGGCTGGTTGGTCTGAGGACCTGAGGTCATAGGTGGAGCTCTTCACAGAGTGAGGGTGAGGACAGGTGACTGGTCTCCCGAAGGAGTCCCGCTGACCCGGGTCTTCGGCACCAAATGTCTCACCTGTTCATGTGAAGAGACCGCCAAACAGACTTTGTGTGAGCAACAAGGCTGTTTATTTCACCTGGGTGCAGGTGGGCTGAGTCCAAAAAGAGAGTCAGCAAAGGGTGGTGGGATTATCATTAGTTCTTACAGGTTTCAGGATAGGTGGGGTTAAGAGCAATGTTTTGGGGGCAGGGAGGATCTCATAAAGTACATTCTCAAGGGTGGGGAGAATTACAAATAATTACAAATTCTTAAAGGTGGGGAAGATTACAAAGTACATTGATCAGTTAGGGTGGGGCAGAAACAAATCACAATGGTGGAATGTCATCAATTAAGGCTATTTTCACTTCTTTTGTGGATCTTCAGTTGCTTCGGGCCATCTGGATGTACACGTGCAGGTCACTGGGGATATGATGCCTTAGCTTGGGCTCAGAGGCCTGACAATGTTAACATACCTGATGTTAGCATAGCATATGTTTTAGTTTAGCTTAATGGTAGCTGAATATTTCTTTTGTCTGGTCATATACTTATTTTAAAAATATGAATATTCTGTATCTTTTGTTGTTGTTGTTTAGGTGTATTGTTTTGACTTCCTAGAAGAGACCCCCAGGTAGAGTGGTACACTAGCTGCTACTAGTGCACCCAAGCCTGGGAATCAGGAGAAGCCTCACAGTGACACCCCCAACTGAGGAAACTCACGGAGCTGCAGGTAGAGCTGGGACATACGCTACTTCTTTGGACAAAAATATACTGACTAGAGTGGAGTCCCCCTGGGGAGTCAGAAAGCCTGAGAAAGATCTCACTTGTTTGAAAGTTCAAGTGTGAATTACTCCCTCACAGATAAACCAAAGTATTTTGAAAAACAAAGGGGAGAAAAGAAATTACTCCCCAGCGCTCTCAGGCATCTAGAGGACACCTAAGAACTTGGGAGTCAGCTACTTCTTGTGTGCAGCCATGAAGTCTGCGCACTCCGATCCCCAGAACACAAGTCATACCATCATGACTTTTTACCCGACCATGGAAGAATTTACAGATTTCAACAAATATGTTGCTTACATGGAGTCCCAAGGCGCACATCAAGCTGGCCTTGCCAAGGTAATTCCACCCAAGGAATGGAAAGCCAGACAGATGTATGATGATATCGGAGACATCTTAATAGCCACTCCCCTCCAGCAGGTGACCTCTGGACAGGCAGGGGTGTTTACTCAATACCATAAAAAGAAGAAAGCCATGAGGGTGGCGGAGTATCGCCACTTGGCAAACAGTAAAAAATATCAGACTCCACCACACTGGAATTTTAGAGATTTGGAGCGACAATACTGGAAAAGCCACCCTGGTAATTCAGCAATTTATGGTGCTGATATTAGTGGCTCCTTGTTTGAAGAAAACACTAAACAGTGGAACCTACGACACCTGGGAACAATTCTGGACCTGCTGGAGCAGGAATGTGGGGTTGTCATCGAGGGTGTCAACACACCCTACCTGTACTTTGGCATGTGGAAGACCACGTTTGCTTGGCACACGGAGGACATGGATCTTTACAGCATCAACTACCTGCACCTTGGGGAGCCCAAAACATGGTATGCAGTGCCCCCAGAACATGGTCAGCGCCTGGAACGTCTGGCCAGGGAGCTCTTCCCGGACACTTCTCGGGGCTGTGAGGGCTTCCTGCGGCACAAGGTGGCCCTCATCTCACCAACAGTTCTCAAAAAGAACGGGATCCCCTTCAATCGCATGACTCAGGAGGCTGGGGAGTTCATGGTGACCTTTCCCTATGGCTACCACGCTGGCTTCAACCATGGCTTCAACTGCGCAGAGGCCATCAATTTTGCCACTCCACGATGGATTGATTATGGCAAAGTAGCTTCACAGTGTAGCTGTGGGGAGGCGAGGGTGACCTTTTCCATGGATGCCTTCGTGCGCATCCTGCAACCAGAGAGCTATGAGCTCTGGAAACACAGGCAAGACTTGGCCATTGTGGATCACACAGAGCCCAGGGTTGCAAAAAGCCAAGAGCTGAGCAACTGGAGAGATGATATAGTACTTAGAAGAGCTGCTCTGGGCCTGAGGCTTCTCCCAAACCTCACAGCCCGGTGTCCCACACAGCCTGTGTCCCCAGGGCACTGTTACAACCCAAAAGGTTGTGGCACTGATGCTGTGCCTGGATCTGCATTCCAAAGCTCTGCATATCATACCCAGACCCAGTCACTTACCCTGGGGATATCAGCCCAGGTTCTTCTCCCTTCCACTGGAAGCTGGGGTTCTTGTGGTCGTGGTCATGGTCGTGGTCGTGGTCGTGGTCGTGGTCGTGGTCGTGGTCGTAGTCGTTGTCCTCGAGAACTGGGGACTGAGGAGACAACTGTTCAGCCTGTATCCAAGAGGCGCCTTTTAATGGGTACAAGGAATAGGGCTCGAGGCCGCAGGCCTCAGCTCCAGCTTGACAATGATTTGATGACAAATCCGTCCTTTTGAGTGGTGGCCTTCCACATCTTGCCAAGGGTTCTGGCTGCTGCTGTGTCCCTGATCTTCAACTCCTGAGGCCCCCACTGGATCCTGATGAAACCATGCACCCTGGCCCATGCCTGCTATCCCTCAACAGCACTACTAGTAATCTCCCTGATGTTGTCTGAATGACTCCTCCCAATGTCATTGTGCCTTTGATTAAGTTTTCCAGGGACACTGGTGGGGACTGGAAATCCCTGGTGAACATGGGCAAGGTTGTAGCAGTGGACCACTCTTATGGCTCTAGGGTTCTGACCCCAACTAAGTTTTCCAGAATCTCCTGGGCTCCTGAGTCATCTGCTGGGGCTAAAGACAGGCAGAGATACATCACTGAGTTTGGGGATATTTTCCTCTAATGCATGATCAATCCTCTGGACCCATGGTTATGGAATATGGTGACAAATGTCAGTGTCTCTCTCATCCCCACCCCAGGATCAAAGAAGATTCTTGCCAAGGACAGTTGTAGCCTGGGCCTCTGCTCAGTGAAGATTCTTTACCTGCAGTAACTGACACATTTCCAAGGCCCCCAGATACTGTCACCAACTGTGACAACCAGGGCTTCCAGAGGCCACTGAACACTCCTCCCAACAGGTTGCCATAGGATGTTGTGGAACCTCTCAGGGACTCTCTGTTTACTTCACATTGTGCCTGTGGCCTCCACCATGGCCTAGATGCCACGGACAGCACTTGTTTCTGATGTCCCCCTTAGGATACCTCCCTTACAGTGCTATGAGTCCAGATCCCGTGGTAATTTAAGCCCACAGTGGATGATGCTGAGAATCTGACTGAACCTCTCATTTTTACTTCTCATCTGGTCCTCTATGTCTCTGACCCCGGATTCCACTGGACATTGCTACAGCCCCAGTGGGGTTCAGGGCTTCTCACAATCCTTCAATTGCAACATGCCCTTTATCCCAGGCCACCATCCACTGCTCATGTACAAACTAGACCTTTTGACCAACTGACTGACTTAGCCAGTTATGGCTTCATAGATATTTTGTAACTCTACTGATGTTAATTAAATTTGCTGTCTCTAATGTGTATCTCCAAAGAAAATAAAATTCTTAGTACATGTTTTTAAAATTAGAATATAAAATATATATATATCCAAAAGAAAGTGATTTAGAAAAGAGATTGAGATAAAAGAATGGGGAAACTATACCAAACAAAGAACAAAGTAGCTTTACAGATCTTAATATCAGGCAAACCTGAATTGAGACCAAAGGTACATAGCATGGGTCTTCACAATGCAAAATACTAAATTTCACAATGAAATTACAGCGGTCATGAATATTCAAGTAAGTTCCACAAAGTATAAATTATAGTAGGTAAAAGACAAGTTTAAAGAAACAGATTAAAAAGAGGACCATTTAAGTCACCAGTATGGTTTGGATATGTGTTCCTCCCCAAATCTCATGTGGAATTTTAATCTCTAATGTTGGAGGTGGGGCCTGGTGGGAGATGACTGGATCATGGCGGGGGTTTGTCATGAATGATTTAGCAGTATCCCCGTAGTGCTATTCTTGTGATACAGTTCTAGGAGTATCTGGTTGTTTAAAAGTGTGTACCACCTTCCCCCTCTCCCTTCCTCCTGCTCCAGCTATATATGATGTGCCTGTTTCCCCTTTCCCCATGACTGTAAATTTCCTGAGGCTTTCCCAGAAGCTGAAGCTCCTGTGCTCCCTGCACAGCCTGCAGAACCATGAGCCAATTAAAACGCTTGTCTTTATAATATAAATTACCCAATTTCAGGGATTTTTTTTTTTTTTTTTTTAATGTAGTTTCGCTCGTGCCCAGGCTGGAGTGCAGTGGCGCAATCTCAGCTCACTGCAACCTCTGCCTTCTGGGTTCAAGCGATTCTCCTGCCTCAGCCTCCCTAGTAGCTGAGATTACTGGCGCCTGCCACCACACCCAGCTAATTTTGTATTTTTAGTGCAGATGGTGTTTAATCATGTTGGCCAGGCTGATCTCAAACTCCTGACCTCAGGTGATCCACCTGCCTTGTCTTCCCAAAGTGCTGGGATTACAGCCGTGACGGACCACACCCAGCCTTCAGGTATTTCTTTACAGCAATGTGTGAATGAAACAGTCTCTCATCCAAGGCAGAAAAAATGGAGAAATATAAGGATACGGAAAACTTAAACTACATTAACAGTAAGGTAGTATTGACCTACTAGATGATAGAAAATACTTCCTCTCTTCAAGTACCAAAAAAGCCAAATTTTCACAAAACAATAAGTATCTATTACATGCATAAACTCTGCAGCAAGAAAGCCTGATTTTGTTCCCAAGTTTCTCTTATCAGCTTGTGTGACCTTGAAAATTACTTAACCTTATGACTCAGTTTCCTCAACATAAAATGAAGATAGCATCTACCTCATGTGTTTAGTTGACAATTCTATGCATTAATATGTGCAATTTGTTAATATCAATGCTTGGGACACAATAGCATGATTGGAGTGTTTCTAGATTTAAAACTTAATAAAATACAAAGAAATATATGAGATTCATTTACAATAGTGCTGAAAATACTGCAGCCTTAAGTATTTTCTCCATCATATTCAAAGAATGAAATTAACTGGATTAAACTTCTAATGTACAAGTTAGGAAAAGATAAACTGAAAGTAGTTGGAAGGAATTCATACATGTAGACACATAAATTAATGAGTTAAAATACCTGTAAAATATATACTAAATCAACACAAAGCACCAATGACATGGATTTTTTGTTAGAAAAATTAACTTACTAAACAAAAAATTTAAGGCATAAATTTCTGTGTCTGAAATATAGAAAGAGCAGAAGATCTGCCCATTCAAAAATGAAGATTAGACAAATTCGCAGAGGAATTGTGTGACATCTTCATTTCTAGTATACCTAGGCCTTTAAAATGAGAAAAAAAATTCATATTTTAAAATAAGTACATCATGGACAGAAAATCCTGATGAATTGCAGAATGAGAGAAAATAGACAAAACTTATTGATGAACATCAATGTAAAAATTTTAACTTAAGCATTAGCTGAGATAATCTAAGTACATTAACAGAGTAACATATGATGACTACATGGGATTTATTGCAGGAAGGTAACAATGGTTTAAAGCAAGGAAATCTGGAAATATAACTTATCTTGTAAATATATCCAGAAATTATATGATTATGTTTATAGATGCTGATAATCATTTGATAAAATTCAGCAGTCAGTCTTGGTTTACACTCACCCACAAGGAAGCAATGAATCCTTCCATAAAATAAAATACAAAATTGTTTATCTAGTAGTGAGATATTTTAGACCCAAGCCACCATTTTCCTTAATGTGAGGCACCTGAGGCACTTCAGTCAATAATATATGGAGTTTGCACTATTAACCACTGAAAATATTTTTAGAACTATAATTGATGGAAGGGAAGAGACAAAACTTAATTTGTTGTGCTTGCAGTTGATAAGGCTGAATGTGGGGAAAACTCAAGGAGAAGGCTAAACTTCTAAATGGTTTCTTTATGGCCACCATGCTGGCTTCAACCATGGCTTTAACTTCCAGGAGGCCATGAATTTTGCCACCATGGAATAGATCAATTCAAGCAAAGTGGAGTCTCAGTGCAGTGATGGGAAAGCCACTGTGGGCATCTTGTAACCCAAGTGCTATGACCTGTGGAAACACAGTCATTTGGGGCAGTTGCAGACCCCATGGAGTCCAGGGCACACGCCAGCCTGGTGATGCCCACCTGGTGAAAGATCCAAGTGCTGGAGAGGACTAGCCTGGCCCCAGTCACCACTCATGTCAACAGGGTCATGACCCACTCAACCTATGGCCTCGGGCTGTGGTTCCCATTGCCTTAGCCTTGTGCCTGGTGTTCCCATGGCCTTTCCATCCTGCAATGATGCTTCCCAGCCCACGAACTTAGCCTGGACCCACTGCCCACCCCAGCTCTGCCAACCCTGGTCTGAGCCCCTCAACTGATAGACGTGGCCATGGTCCTTGCCCTCTGTAACTGGGGACACAGGAGCCAATACTCCAGGCTCCAGCCAGGAGGTGCCTCTTGATGGTCACAGGGCACACAGCTTTAGGCCCTCAGCCTCAGGCCCTGAGTCTAAGTCCTTGCCCACAGATGGAGCATTGATGAACAGGCCTGTACCACTAAGCCCAGGATCCAGCATCCTGCCAAGGATTCTGGGTGCTGCTGGGCCCCTGCCTCTGAGCCCATGGTCAGTCTTTATACTTCACTGCTCTGCTATGTGAGGGCTTCTTGATATTGCTCACATTTACATCTCAGAATTTGGCAAATTTCAGACCACTACCATTATAGAGCCTCTCAGTGCTGAGATAGCCCCTCTGGTGAGGCACCTGGGTGCTGCTGAGTATATTAAGTATATTCTTTATCCTGCAAGACCTTTTAATGTCTTGACACTTCTACTTCTGTGTCACCAGCTGAGATTTCATCCATTGGACATGAGTGTCTCTGAGAACGAGGTCTTCCTGGGTTTGCTGGGAACTCATCTATCCTAGCGTCCCAATTGCTGGAACAACTATGGAGGCTGCTGCACTTCTGAAGAATTCACAATGTGGTTCCCCTTTAATCTTCTTCCCTTACCTACCCCTGCCCCAACTCTCCCTTTCTAGCAAAACTAGCCTCTTATGACCAATTAGGTCAATAGAGTTAGGAAAAAAGTATTATCTTTCTGAGTCATTGAGGTATTCAAAATGTGATGTCACCAGTATTTGTTCACAAATGAATTAAAAGTCACCAAAACGTAACATCTGACTTTCTTCTAATATTGTAGTTTCAAACAACTTGGAAAGGAGATTATTCTCCATGCATTTTTCTTCATAATTAGTTGAAAACTTTTAAGGCAAAATGTATTTTATGGGCTGGTTACATTGGGTGGTGATGCTGAGCTCAGCACATGGTTTTGGGGTTCTGGCTGTCTGGCCAGGTGGGAGCACTGGGTTGCAGTCATGCTTTGAGGCTGGCCTTAGGCCCAGCCTGGTTCTCAGCTAAATAGCAGGACCCAAATTGCTGGGAAAGATGAGCAGCCCTAGGCTGAAGGTGCCATCTGACTATCTTCTCTCCACTGCCTTTTCAAAGCTGTTTGTATACTTCACACTGGTAACTTATTCACTCAACCCAATATTGTCCCTAAATAAGTGAACAAGGTTTCAATCAGGAATGTGTGCTGTATAGAAACTAAAGAAGGATTGGACAACAGAGCAGAATGAGCTGGGGCTGGTTGAGTGGCCGGTCTCAGAAGGATTCACTGAGCAGGAGACTTTGGGGACCCAATTATAAAACGGGGAGGTCTGGAGAAGAATTTCCTGCTTGCAGGGACCAGCAAGTACAACAGATCTAACATAGAACTTGTGAGTTTGTGTTTCCAGGAATACAAAGCTTATTTGTGTTTGGGACATAGAGAGGAAGGGAGAGAGGCAGGGGGCAGAGCATGGAGGGCCTTGTGTCTCATGTCAGGTGCATTATGTGGTGTTCCTTCAACTTGAAATGAGAAGTCATTAAAACAGCAGTGGAAAAGATGTGAACGACACATTTAAGTAATCAGCTTAGTTGTTCTGTGGAGAATGTGTGAGTAGGAGAAGCAATTAGACTATTTATAATACAAGTGAGAGTGACAGTTGCTTACACTTAATTGTTAGTATTGCAAATGCACAGAAATGGAAAAATTCAGAATATATTTTTAACATTGAAAATGACAGTTTGGATGAAGAAGGAAACATTCAGAGAAGCAAACCACTGCCCACCTTAGTACCACCCTTCCTTAACTTCCCCACTCCCATCCAGAATTTCAGGAAGGCTGTACATTTTGAAGCATGAGTAATCAAAACTTGGTGCTTGTCTAAAGTTCTCAATAAAGAGCAGAAAATCTCTTATCATCCTGTCTCTCCCATTCATTCAGGCAACTTTGTCTTTCTTAACATAACAAGAAGTTTATTCTTTGGAAAATTCAAGCGGAGGGACAACATAGGGTCTCCAGGCATACAGGAGGATGGACTGAGATGCCTGGCTGAAAAGGTTTAAGCTAATAGTGACATGGTGGAACCAAAGATGAAAGCACACTGCATTAACTGGAATGGAGTAGCCCAGAGAACTGCTGATCTCTCAGTACATCCTGCATGACCAAGGAATGAAATTTTATGTGATAGATAAAAGCCTCATTGACCCTGGGGTGTAGTAAGCAGAGAGCCTTCAGCTGCAGAGAGCTGCCTCACCCAAAGCATGCCTCTTCCCAGTTTGGCCGACATTTCATGACTGCTCAGTGCTGGAGCATAAAGTTTGGCCATCTTTGCTCAACTTAGCACATCGCTGAAGGGCCATTTGTGCTCCAGATTTGCCAAGACTATCTTTGGCCCTAATCCTCAGCTCCAATTTTCCCTGTGCTCAAACATGCTTCCTTCCTCTCCTTTTCTCAGATATGAATCCCAAGCACACTTGTTAAGAAAGATCTTGGTGCCAAAGTCTGTTCCATAACGGACCTCACCTACAACTTTACTTCAGGTTTCATTGTGTTTCAAAAGCCTAATTTTCTTGAGAGAATAAAGAGTGATCACCCCTACTAAAATCGTAGTTCTTTGCATGGTTATTTAGTGATGTGAGGAGATAGAAATGGCTACATAAGAATTTCAGCTTTTAATTTATGGAATTATTGTTGTGACCCCTGGTGAAAAACATGTCCCTTTGAACACCAGAAGTCACAAGGGCAAGAAGAAACATCTTGCCATTGGCATGATGGATCAATACCAGTTTTACTCCTGGATTAACTGTAACCACGTACTCTGCTCTGAGCAAAACAGTATCATGTTCGGAGCAACTGACTCTCACATACATTGCTTGTGGGAATGTAACAATGTACAGCCCCATTGAAAAACTGTTTGTCAATGTTCTGTAAACTTGACCACTCATCTATCCATAGCCATTCTCTTCCTAGGTATTTACCCAATCATTAAAAATCAGGAACTGTGAATAATCCACGTGTCTGAACAGAGGACTGGAAAAGCTGTAGCATATTAAATAGTATTCAGTTACAAAAAGCAATGATTCATTTTATATCCATTCAAAAAAATGGCCAAAATAAGTTGTGCTCATAGAACTTAGATCGTGGTTGTCTCTGGTGAGAGTGGGAATTAACTGGGAAGTTCTAGGCATGTGAAAATGTTGTGGGGCTATGGGAATGTTCTGCATCTCATTTAGAGTGATGATTACATGGGTGTATATAATTGTTTAAACTGGAGGAATTGGCAGAGCAAGATAGTATAATAGAAAGCTCTAAATCAGATTTAGTCTGCCTTACATCAAATGGATCTAATAGATATTGACAGGACACTTCATCCACCAGTTGTAAAAAGTCGTAAAATACACATTCTTTTCCTCAGCACATGGATCATTCTCAAGAATAGACCATATGTAAGGTAACAAAATACATCTTTAAAAGTTCAAAAATTCAAATAATTCCAAGCATCTTCTCTGGACACAGTGGAACAAAACTAGAAATCAAAACAAAAGGAATTTTGGAAATTATGCAAACACATAGAAATTAACCAATATGCACCTGAATCTCCAGTAGGTCAATGAAGAAATTAAGAAGGAAATTGAAGAATTTCCTGAAACAAATCATAATGGAAACGCAATATATTAAAATCTATAGGATATGGTAAAAGCAGTACTAACATGGAAGTTTATAGCTGTAAGTCCCTACATCAAAAAAGAGGAAAAACTTCAAATAAACCACCTAATGATGCCTCTTAAAGGAGTAGAAAGGTAAGAACAAAAATAATCCAAAATTAGTAGAAGAAAAGAAATAATAAAAACCACAGCAGAAATTAATGAAATCAAAATGCGGAAAGCAATGCAAAAGATCACTGAAACAAAGAGTTGTTGTTTTGAAAAGTTAAACCAAATTGACAAACCTTTAGCCGATTAAGAAAAAGAGACAGAAGATCTACATCAATAAAATCAGAAATGAAAAAGGAGGCATTGCAACAGATACTGCAGAAATTCAAAGTATCATTAGTGGCTACTGTGAGCAACTATATAGCAATAAGTTGAAAAACCTAGAAGAAATGCACAAGTTTCTAGACACATACAACCTATCAAGATAGAAGGAGGAAGAAATCCAAAACCTGAATAGACCAATAACAAATAATGAGATCCAAGCTGTAATAAAAAGTCTCCCAGTAAATTAAAGCTGAGGATCCAATGGCTTCACTGCTGAATTCCACCAAACATTTAAATAACTCATACCAGTCCTAGTCAAGCTATTCTGAAAAGCAGAGGAAGAGAAATTACTTACAAACTCATTTTTTTTTTTGAGTATTTTTGACCTGCAGTTGGTTGAATTCACTGATGCTGAACCCAGAGGTTACAGAAGGCTGCCTGTATTCTATGATGAGGGATCCATTCACACATAAGAGGACACATGAGCTCCAGTATACATGGCCAAGTGTGTTCTGAGCAACACTGTAAGAGGCCAAAGTGGAAACAATCCAAATGCCCATCAACAGCAGAAACATTTATACTATTGGACACCTTACAGCAGGCAACAGGACCAAGTACAGCTACAAGGAACAACATAGATGAGGGAAATAAAACAAACCAAAAAACCCATTAAACTGCATAAAGCACAATTCTGTTTACATAAGGTTATATAACATTTTCAAAATGAGCAACATTTTAGTACATTTATTTAGAATTCTTCTGCAGAAGGGTTTTGTCTCTTCTCTCCAATTTGTTAAATTTACTCATTTATTCATAACAGCATGAACTTGCAGGTATTTATTTTATTCTTTGGATTATAATTCAATAATACTTTAGTTACTCTGTGGCTCAACTTGTTTAAAATTTGGCCGTTGGGAGCTGTTTTCATTGGTTCTTGTGGTCTTCTAATATAACCCCATAAATGTTCTAACATGACCTCATCAATACTTTTGTTTGTTTTGTGTTTACCACATTCTTATTTTCCAACACTCCAAGATGCTATAGGCTCTTTCTGTATTTCCTGCACAGGTCTAGAAACTTTATTTCTTCATAAGTATTGCCACATCTTTATTTTTTCTTTAACATTATCAGGTTGCAGTTTTATTAATCATCTTTAGTCTAGATTGCCTTCTGTTTATTTATAATTCTATCATTGTTTTAATGTTTCATGTTCTGTTCGTTTTTATTTACTAATTGCTGAATTTCAACATATTTATAGATTTTTAGAAAATATAGATATTAATTCTCAAATAAATATAGTCAGATTCAGTTTTTAAATTGTTGACCTTTAATTTTATTTCAGCGAGGTCAAGCTTATGCTCAATTTATTAACTTATGGAATTGTAATTGATATTTATTTGTAGCTGCACTGGGAAATTTTTGTAAATGTGTTCTACCTATTGAAAAGCATTTTCCATTTGATTTTTGGTAGTTGCAGGTTATAATGATCACGGTTAAGTTTGTTTTGCAAATTCTATAGCTTTTTTTTTTTTCTTTTTTTGACGGAGTCTCGCTGTCGACCTCGCAGCCTCCCGAGTAGCTGAGATTACAGGCGTCCTCAACCATAGCCGGCTAATTTTTTATAGTTTTAGTAGAGACGGGGTTTCACCATATTGGCCAGGCTGGTCTTGAACTCCCGACCCCAGGTGATCCACCCGCCTTGGCCTCCCAAAGTGCTGGGATTACAGGAGTAAGCCACCGCGCCCAGCCAAATTATACAGCATTCCTAATTTTGTTCTCTGCACTATTGGTTTCGGTCAAAATGCTGTTACATAAAAAAAAAACAAAACCAAATCATGATCTCCTATCATGATTGCAGACTTTTCAGTTTTACCATCTAAGTCTGAGTCTTGGCTCTCTATGTGTCAGTGCCATGTGGTTAGGTGCATAAAGTTCATTACTGCAATATTGAAATATTTTCCTATGAAATTTCATTAACCAGGATCCTATCAATACACTGGATATTAATATTGCTCCCCTAGATTTCTTTTGTTTAATATTTGTCTGTATTGCCTGTTCCCATAAATTGACTTTTAATCACTTAGCGTTGTTCTAAGATTGATTAAAATGTAGAATAAAAGGGAAGGTTATGGGAGGGTGGGACGTCTAATCTAAGCCCAGCCCAGTGATTACATTAGCTGGGCGCTGATTAGGTTAGGATGTTGCCCAGGGATAAAGCCAGGATCTTTGGGACCTGGCTTCATTTGGAGTTCAGCTACCAAGAGGAAACCTTCCTCTGGGTCCTGGAGTATTTGGCCTGAAATTGGCAATTTGGGAGTTGCTGCTCCAGGGGGCTCCGTGCGGAGCTCGGCCGCCAGCCTCTCCGCCCAGCCTTTTCCGGCGTCCCCACGCGGGGCGCAGCCGCGAGAAAGGAACGCAGGTCACACCGTCAGCGCCCAGAGCAGCGCCAGTTTCCGGGCCCGGCCTGCTCTGGGAGCCATGAGCTGCGGCCGCCCCCCTCCCGACGTGGACGGCATGATCACCCTCAAGGTGGACAACCTGACCTACCGGACCTCTCCCGACAGCCTGAGGCGCGTGTTCGAGAAGTACGGGCGCGTGGGCGACGTGTATATCCCGCGGGAGCACCACACCAAGGCGCCCCGGGGCTTCGCCTTCGTCCGCTTTCACGACCGGCGCGACGCGGAAGACGCCGAGGACGCCATGGACGGGGCGGAGCTGGATGGACGCGAGCTGCGGGTGCAGATGGCGCGCTATGGCCGCCGGGACTTGCCCCGCAGCCGCCAGGAAGAGCCGCGCGGCAGGTCCGGAGGCGGCCGCTACGGACTGCGGAGCCGCAGCCCCAGGCGGCGACACCGCAGCCGATCCCGGGGTCCCAGCTGCTCTAGGTCCCGCAGCAGATCTCACTATGGGGGGTCTCGCTATAGCCGGTCTCCCTACAGCCGATCTGCCTTCAGGAGATCTCGCTACAGCCGATCTCCCTACAGACGATCTCATTGCAGAGGATCTCGCTACAGTCAATCTTACAGCCGGCATCACTACAGCCGATCTCCCTACCGGGAATCTCGCTACAGGAGGTCTCCCTACATCCGGTCTTCCCGCAACAGGTCTCTCTACAACCGCTCTCACTCGAAGTCTGGGTCTGGCTCTCGCTCTCCATCAACCTCCAAATCCAGCTCTGCGCGAAGATCCAAGTCCTCCTCCATCTCCAGATTTTGCTCAAGGTCCAGGTCTAGATCTACGTCCCGGAGTACTACCCCCATATCCAAGAGGAAATCCAAGTCCAGGTCGTGATCCAAGAGTCCTCCCAGGTCTCCTGAAGGGGAAAAAGGACAAGTGTCCTCCAAGGAAAATGATCATCAGCTAACGCGTGATGGACGACTTGGGGAAAAGGACTCCATACTCAGTCCATGGAAGCAGAATCCCTGGAAGAAGCGACTGCCTAATGAAACGGTTGTGTGACATTTGTCTACCTTTTTACCAGTTTGAAGTGTTGCATCAGATGGCAAGATTCATTTCATGTGCCATTGTGTTGTTATTCAAATTTTGTTGTAATTTAGTGAGGTAAACTACTTTAGATTGGATTTGGATGTTTGAGGGGAAATTTTATATTTGTCTTTTTTTGTTTTTTTTTGAGATGGAGTCTAGCTCTGCTGCCCACGCTGAAGTGCAGTGGCGCCATCTGCATCTTCCACCTCCTGGGTTCAAGCCATTCTCAGGCCTCAGCCTCTGCAGTAGCTGGGATTATAGGCACCAGGCACCACAGAGGGCTAATTTTTGTATTTTTAGTAGAGACGGGGTTTCGCCACGTTGGCCAGCCTGCCCTCGAACTCCTGGGCTCAAGTGATCTGCTCACCTTGGCCTCCTAAAGTTCTGGGATTACAGGTGTGAGCCCCTTTGCCCAGCGTATATTTGATTCTATAGTGCTGATATTTTTGGTTTGAAACGAACAGGTTGGTAACCTAATTTGTGGCCCCCTGTCTCTTAAGAAATGTGTGCAGCCATTACACACAGCCCAACGCTGTCACGACATTGCCTCAAAACTGCCTTCATTCCTTAAAGTTAAAAACTTACAAAAGGTGGTATAAATGTGTATGTGTAATGTTATTACCTTTAAATCTAACTGGTAATATGACCCAAATTTGTATAAAGATTTTTCAGGTGAAAAGACTGGGTTTTGAGCAAACACAATTCTAATATCTTCTGTGTTTTTGTGTACCAGGCCTGGCTGCCTAGCAGTTGAGTGATGCTGGTTAGCTGTTAAGGTGGCCTATTGCAGTGCAGAGTGCTGAGCTGCTTCCTGTTTTCTTCTGTTTCCTCCTGAAAAAAGAAGCCCTGTCCGGAAGACTGTTCAGTTTATTAAAATGCCTGTCAACTGCCCTTGTAGTCACCCAGGCCTGGAAGAGAAATAATAGAGCATGCAGTGAGCACATCCAGCTGATGATAATCACACCTCTTCCCCCTCTCTATTCTGTTAAATGGCAAATCTGATCATATCAACATACATGAACTTAAAATATGGGGAATGTTATGGAAGAAATGGCTTGTAACTTTGTAGGTACTTATAACATGGTGTATGTTTTTTTATTATGAATATTTCTTACTATTACCATGTTTCTATCATTGAATTAAAATGTTTTGTTGGTGTTACCTTTTCTCAAAATAAAATTAGAAATATTTTATAGAAAGTTGGTTGTTTTATTTTGCTGTTGGACTACTTTCTGCTATTTGTACCTTTGGGAAAATTATTTTACCAAGTTTCTCATAGGATTCAATTATAATTTTTAAAAAACTCTACAAGGTTTAGCTGTGTGCTTTATTATTTTATCACAATGTAGTTTCTTTGTACACTCTTTCTTTCCTCTTCCTACCTATGATTTTTAACTTCCAAAGTCTTTTCAAAGAATCAGATTTTGAATTTTGTTATTACCTCTACTGGGTGTAATATTTTCTTTTGTAATTGTTTCTGCTTATACCTTTATTTTCTTTCCTTTTTTATTTTGATTCATCCTGTTTACTGAGTTGAGTGCTAAATTCAATCATTTTTGAACTTGCTGATTTTTTTCTTTCAGTTCAATTCGATACTCCTCTTTATATATGTTGTGATTTGACCTTAAATCCTGATATTAACACACCATACCAATCTGCCGTAATCAGTCCATCCTGGGTGGTAGAACTGATGGCCTCTGTACAGTTAAAGTTGTGGTTGAAGCCTGTGTGGCATCACTAAGTTACTAAGGTAGCTTAAAGCTCAGCATTTTGTTTGTCACACATTTGTCTTCAAATACTCTGAAATATACTGGATTCAACCACACCAGAAGTTTGAAGATTTGGAAAGAAAATACTGGAAGAACCTCAGCCTCCTAGTTGATGAAAACAGTAAACAATGTAATCCTGGACACGTAGGAACAATTTAGGAGTTTCTGGAGCAGGAATGTGAGGCTGTCACTGAAGAGAGTGTCAACACACCCTACCTGTACTTTGGCATGTGGATGACCACCTTTCCATAGGACACGGACCTTTACAACATCAACTACCATCACTTCAGGGAGCCCCTGTCTTGGTACACAGTGCCCCAAAACCATAGTCAGCACCTGGAATGCTCAGCCGGGGAGCTTTTCCAGGTAGTTCTCAGGGTTATGAGGCCTTCTTGTGGCACAAGATGGCCCTCATCTTGCCCACAGTGCTCATGCAGAATGGGGTTCCCTTCAATAGCATGACTCAGGAGACTGGAGAGTTCACGGTGACATTTCCCTATGACTACCACACAGGCTTCAATTCTCACAGAGACCATCCATTTCACCACCTAGGATGGGTAGATTATGGCAATATGGCATCTCAGTGTAGCTGTGGGGAGGGCAGGGTGGCCTTTTCCATGGATGCCTTCACACACATCATTAAACCTGATCATTATGACCTGTGGAAAAGCTAGCAAGATGGGGCCATTGTGGATCAAAGGGAGCCCAAGGTGCTGGCCAGCCGGGAGCTCATTACCTGGCAGGAGGACATTGCACCTGGCCTGAAGCTCCTCTGGACCTGGCCTCTTCTAGGCCTGTGGTCCTGGATAGTGGGACCTACCATTGAACCCACATGTACCAGTTGCAGTTTCCCTGGTGCCCCATGGCAGCTCAGGAAACTGATGCCCATCCAAGGGTCATTGACCCCAGAGGCTCCCAAGAACACACCATGGCCCACCATCTATCTTGGGTCTGTTTGCCCTGGTTCTCTGCCTGTCAACTGGCAGAGGTGGTCATGGTGGTCCTTTTCAGGAACTAAGAGCTCAGGAGGGGATCCTCTAGTCTCCCACCAAGTGGCACAGCACACAGAGCTCTCGATCCTGGGGTCTTTGCCCCTACTTAGGATGGAACTTTGATAGACAAGCCTGTATCTCTCAGGCCTGCATCTCAGCAGCCCATCAAGGCTACCACGTGCTGCAGTGCCCCCATCGTCAACCTTTGGAGACAACTTGGATCTGATGCTTCGATGTGTGCTGGCCCGTATCTGACATCCCCAGACAGCAAGACACTGAACCACCCTGTGTTCCACTGATTCCTCCCAACATCATAATGATGCTGAGAAGATTCTCCAGAGATGCTGCTGGAGAGTCCAAGGCCTCTTGAACCTGGCTGAGGTTGTAGCGATGGACCACTCTTATACCTCTGGGGTCTTGGCCCCAACCGATGTTGTCAGAATATGCTGGGCCCTGACTCCTGTCCTGGGGTTAAAGCCAGACAGTGCTGCACCTCTGAATTTGGAGCTATGTGCCTCTGATACATTATCTTAATCCTTTGAACCCATGGCTACTGAATATATTGCCAAATGTGGCTGTCCCTCTGACCACAACCTAACCCGAGTAGCCAAAGAAGGCTCCACTTAAGCACAATTCGAGCCTGGGACTGTCTCAGTCTCTTTTACTTTGAAGAACTAATATATACCCAAGGCTACCAGAGGCTGTTTCCTGTTTATTAAATTAATTTTTCCTAGTGTGTATCTACCAAGTAAAGAAAGGAATATCGGCCGGGTGCGGTGGCTCACGCCTGTAATCCCAGCACTTTGGGAGGCCGAGATGGGCGGATCATGAGGTCAGGAGATCGAGACCTTCCTTGCTAACACGGTGAAACCCCATCTCTACTAAAAACACAAAAAATTAGCCCGGTGGCGGGCGCCTGTAGTCCCAGCTACACTGGAGGCTGAGGCAGGAGAATGGCGTGAACCCAGGAGGCAGAGCTCGCAGTGAGCTGAGATCCGGCCACTGCACTCCAGCCTGGGTAAAAGAGCGAGACTCCGTCTCAAGGAAAAAAAAAAAAAAGGAATATCCTGAAAACATATTTTAAAATCACTACTATAAAAGAGATAAACCTAAAACTAAGTGATTCAGAATGACTGAAAAATAAAAGAATGGGCAAAACTAGATCAAGGAAAATGCAAGCAAAAGAAAAGAGGGGTGGTAGATCTTAATATAAAACAAAGAAATTTTAGGTACTTCATATAAGTGCAATGATATAATATCTGTCTTTTTATTTCTAGTTATTTCACTTAGCATGATGTCCTCAAGGTTCATCCATGTTGCAGCATGTGCCAGAATTTCCTTCCTTTTCAAGGTTGAATAATATTGCATCATATGTATACACCACGTTTTGCTCATTCCAATCACCCATGGATGGACCATTGGGTTGTTTCCTCCTTTTGGCTATGTGCATGGTGCTGTTGAGAACACTGGTATAAAAGTATCTGTGTGAGTCCCTGGTAAAACCATTTTAATCATCTTTTAGAAGTTCCATATTCTTCCTTGGGCATCATTAATATGCCTTTGCATCTGACTTGACTGGAGATCTGATATATATCTGTAGTAAATTAGTTTTTAATATCATCTTAGTTTGAAAAATTATAATTAAATTAAATTTAAACTAAAAATGTTAGATTAAAAATTAATTGTGTCACTTCTCATGAATTTGGGGAAACTTCTGACAGCAACATACCTTGTTCTCCTCTACCAAATATGTGCACACCAACATTTATTACTATGTGGAAGAATTCATGGATCTCTCAGTTCTATCCTAGGTCCCAGGTTTAGGAGTCTAGAGTTCCTTTCAATATCCCGTTATCATGGATGTCTCCGTGGCTCTGAAACAGCATTTTCATTCTTCAAATAGTCAGTTAGAGCCTGGGGAAAGGTGTGTTCTACAATCTTCTCATCCCTGCTGGTGATAACTCACTATGGGTACTATGTGGCTCTGTGGGAAGCTGGGCATGGTGACCAGGTGACTGTGTGGAGCCAGGAAGCTCTTGCAAAGCTCACAGCCAGCACTGTACATGCACTGAAGCTCGCGGGATCCCTTTACCTGGCACAGGACAGGCAGTGCAAAGCTTGTGTGCTTCTCTCAGAGTGAGCGTGGGTGGGTAGTGGGCACTGCTTCTAGCGGGCTTCCTTCTTCCTGGCCTTCTGCTTTCAGAGGCTGCCAAAGTCCTGACTGCATCCATGTAGGGTGAGCGCTTGCCCAGAGAATCCAGAGGTGGGTGTCCCAGGCCCCTGTGCCAGGCTCAGGCAGTGCTTGGGAGAGGGTTATCCAGGGAGCTTTCCGTGCTGGGCTTGTGTTTCTAGGGGGAAAACAGGAGGGGTGGGCATGGGCTGCAGGGTCCAGAGAGGATTGTGTCACAGAGGTGGGGAAGAAAGTTCTGGTAAAATCTCATTTCCCTCCTGTTTTCCTCCTCTGGGCAAGCTCCATGAGGACATGGTGCAGGCTTAGGGCCAGAAGGTTGAGATCCGCCTAGAGCCCATGTAAGTTTGATTAAGGAAAAATCATAGTTGGTAAGAAACAAGTTGGAGTAGTGTTTGAAAAAAACAGAGAATTTAAGTCACTTTATTGTGTTGAAGACAGAAAAAAAATGGACACATATACAGATATAGAAAACAAACAAGCTTAACAAGGTACAGTGTATGCACCTGGTAATAGAGAATACTCACCTTTTTCAAGTACTAATGAATGATTCACAAAATTGGACAATATATTACAGTGAAAACAAAACATCGATAACTTATCAAAAGAAAAAGAAAAAATCAATACCATGCAACAAAACTAGAAATTTGTTTTAAAAATAGAAAATATAGAGATGCTTTTTTCTGAAAGGTGAACATTCTTTATCGGGCAAGCTTTATGTAAGACAAAAACACAAGCCAAAACAGCCAAATTCCACTGGCTTTTCAAAGCTGTGGTTTATTTGACATTGTTAATTCACTGGCTCAGTCCAATAAACAAGTCCCCACTAAGTGAGCAAGACAGTTTTTATCAGCAATGTGTGCTGTGCAGAAACTAAAGCAGGATTAGATAACAGAAGAATGCGCAGGGGCTGCCTGAGCTGCGGGTCCCGGATGGATTCACAGAGCAGGAGATCTTTTTGAGACCTAGTTGACCAAACGGAAAGTCCAGAGCAGAATTTTCCACTTGCAGGGAACAGCAAGTGCAATAGACCTACCATGGAAATTAGTGATTTTCTTTTTCCAGGAATACAAAAGAAGCTTATTTGTGTCTCGGGCAGAGAGGGGAAGGGAGAGAGGCTGGGGACAGAACATGTAGAGCCTCACGTTTCAAGTTAAATGCATTATTTGGTGTTCCTTCAACTTGAGAAGGCATCAGAAGCTTAAAATAGCAATTGACAAGATGTGATTGACACATTTAAATAATCAGCT